TCGTCCAAAAGCCTTCTGTAGGGAACTCATCCAAAAGCCCTCTGTAAGCCGTACACATTCTTCTTCTTTCTTAGACATTCTTTTTCCAGACTGGTTTGGATGTATGTCGCCAGAACTACAAACGATTACGTGAAATCCCTTTTTCGTCGGAGTCAAAGTGGATGTCTGTTCAATGCGATTATAATGTACGTTACGGTCGTTGATTGCGAGTTCCGTCTCCAGAAGCACATTCTGTGCTGGTAACATGGGTGGAGTTACTTGAGCCATTTGCACTCTGGACGAAAATGGTCACCTTTGAAAGAGAGGCGAAGTAACTCCGCCCATCGATCATAATGGTATGTCCGCTTATTGCTATAATGGCTATTTTGTAATGCTTTAAAGGGCCAAACAGTTTTCTTCGTGAAAGGAGCACTCGATCGTGTTATGCAACTTTGCGACTCGTATTTATCAGCTGACGGAATGAGAAAGGTAAGCCTTTTCTATTTTCCCTGATTCCACCCTGCTTTGAACTGTCAGACTCATTATTTGGCTCTGTTCGGCGGGGTACTGCGAGGATAGAGCATCGTGATGTGTGAAATGGTGGTGTCAGTACGACGCCCTCTCGAAAGAGGGTCTCGGTACGACCTCCCCCCCCCTTTCCCCAACACCTACCTACCACTTTCCTACAAGTTCCCAGCTTCCTACCAGTTTTTCCGAAATTTCCCACATGTTCCAGTTTTTCACCCAAAAATTTTCCGTCGAGCGGGGTATGGGGGATAGGTCGTCAGAAACCAACTATTATTTTCAACTATTAGAAAGAGTAGTTGCATAGAACTTAAGTGGCGCCACCAACCAGGGGGGTATAGCTACTGTGAAACGGGGAAAAACCGCGAAAAGTCAACAACCGGGAAAATTTTTTCCCAACGCGGCAAATTTCTCTCAAAGGCACATACCCCCCCCCTCTCCCAACAACGACCAAATACGACCCCCCCCCTCCCCAGCGGCCAAGTACGACCCCTCCCTATGTGTTTCCCACAACGATGCTGTACAGTGGGTGCTGCATACTTCCATCGGGTGGCAATACGCACGGTCGTCCCCAGGCATGCAATTTTCGTTACAGTCTTGTTCGCTGCGGACGCTGGGGTTTTCCCAAGGGGCTGGGTTTGGCGCAGTGCCAGGTAGTTTTCCACCATCCGCCTGCCAGCTTCCACAACTGGAAGAGAACCAGCTGGCACCACGCAAATCCACTTCCTCTTCCCCCTAAACGCCCCATCATTTGCAGCGAACAAGACTTTACCTGATTAAAAGGATTGAGATTAAGCTTTCCCAAGCGGATGTCAGCGATTTAGGCTAGTTTTTCTTTCAATTTCGGGTGCAGGGAAAGATTTTCCATTTTCCGTTTCGCTTCTTTTTTCCCCTTTCCATTTTCTCAGTTCAATTACGGTTTACCTTCAGCCTCTTGATGATTATGTTCGTCAAAGGATATCAGATGGAGCACGAGGGCTGGGAGCGACAGGTCTCAGAGGTCAGTTGTTAATCGACAGTTGCCCCGATAATTTCGTTTGAATCTACAAGGTGATCATTTGGGTGGAAACTGAGAACTCTTTTACTTTTCGACACGCTTGTTCTCTTTACTACCTTACAAGGGAATGGTTTGAAATTCCCATGGAACTTTGAATGGAGACCTAGGTACATCGATAGAGCCTCGAATGCTGATTACGAATATGCAGATTAAAAGTGCTACTCCCAGACGAGATCTGGGTGGTCAAAGTTTGCGAAAAGCCAGTTTTGGCTCGTAAGCGCTGCTGATCGATGCTTCGGCAGTGCCACCGTGGCCTCGTGGTAATGGTCTCGCTTTCAAGTCAAACGCATGCGGGTTTGCATCCGATTGGCGCGAAAATCGAAAATTTTGCTTCCCATAAGCTAGGCTTCAACTCTAGATTTTCGAAAATCTTCCGAATTTATGCCTCAAGCAGGGCAAATAGATCAAGTAATCAAGTATATGACGTACTCGATCTAGTATGCATTTAGTCATATCGCACCTCTCTCCTAAACGGTTAGCCAATCGACTATTCAAAGTTTTAGCGAAACTCGTTCATAGGAGATTTCGACCCCCTGAAAATGAATATCTTCGACGAAAAATGCTCGTCTGGCCAAATTGCGATTCTGGGCAAAACTTTGAATTGTCGGATGGGTAATATGTTCAGAGAGGGCAGATGTGACCAAATATCGCATACATACGATCGGAGTACGTCGTGCCTACTGGATGTACTTGGCCGCCTGCTTGGTCGTGTAATGGTCGGAAATGAATTCGAAATTAGAGTTGAAGCTCTTATACGGAGCGAAGCAAAAATTTTCGCGCCAACCGGATGCAAACCCGCATGCGTTTGACTTGAAAGCGAGACCATTACCACGAGGCCACGAGCCAAAACTGGCTTTTCGCAAACTTTGACCACCCAGATCTCGTCTGGGAGGTCCCCGTAGCACTTTTAATCTGCATATTCGTAATCAGCATTCGAGGCTCTATCGATGTACCTAGGTCTCCATTCAAAGTTCCATGGGAAGTTCAAACCATTCCCTTGTTAGAACTGGCGCCTCGATAAGCGATTTACGAATGGTTCCGTCGCCTCCCATACGCTCAGTTGGGACTATACTTTATTCTTTGTTGGTTTCAGTAATTGCTATGGCTCGTGGCGACTCTATGCAGTCATTAATGTTAGTGGGAATGGTAGGTATGCTGGATCCACCCCGGGCTGGTGCAGCCGACGCCATTTCCATGATTCGAGCAAGTGGTGTTGATGTGAAGCTGATCACTGGAGATGCACAGGAGACTGCACAGAGCATAGGTATATCCGTTCTCCGCTATTTTTGGTTCTTTCGGGACATTTGTTCCCATTATGACATCTCTCTTAAGGCGAAGTTGGTATAGTGGCAAGTGGGACGCTTAACATGCGCGCGGTCCGGGGGTCAAAACTCGTAACGGTTCCCTGCAAGGCTAACCAGGTTTTCTTTCCTGCAAAGAGCGGTAAATTAATACCAGATTCATTTGGGAGGATAAGTTTCCCTATACTAGAAGCGGAGAAAATCAACGATCGAAAAATTCTCATCAGTTTAAACGCGAGTCCTTGTTCAGGCGCCCAAAGACATCTTGGCGTTGAGCATTGCTCGGGTATGTGACAAGAGAATCGTAATTCGCCGCGCTGGTGGGCGTCGCGTGCGACGTCGCGCCCGCAAATGACGATGGTTCCAGGTAGATCCCAGTAAATGGCGACAAAGGGCAATTCAGGACTGAATAGTCATGAATGTCTTGCGGCGACCGGGTCTACATGAACTG